AATCATATGCTGCCGACAATATGCAGGAGTTATCTGGAGATGGAGAGGCTGTTCAAGATATATGTGTACCAGGAAGGGGAGCCACCAATATTCCATGAGGGGCCATGCAGGAGCATATATTCCACAGAGGGGAGGTTCATCCATGAGATGGAGAGACGCCACAACCAGTACAGGACCATGGACCCAGATGAGGCCCTCGTCTACTTCCTCCCCTTCAGCGTGGTCATGCTGGTCCGGTACCTCTACGAGCCCGGATCCCACAAGACGCACGCCATCAGGCGTGCCGTCGTCGACTATGTCGATGTCATCGCCGCTAAGCACCCGTTCTGGAACCGGAGCCTCGGGGCCGATCACTTCATGCTCTCTTGCCACGATTGGGTAATAATGCTAACATCACATTTCAAGACGGGTCGAAAATGTGTTGATCTTTCGTCGAGCACTCATACTATTTCGATTTTGATTTTGATGGAGCATTTTTTTTGCAAAATAAACATAAGAAGAAGATCGATTTTCGCCGTTTCGAGCTTTTCGGGTCAATCAACTTTGATGCTATCCAATCCATCACAAGTCACGGAATGTTTGTTCAGGCTAAAGTTTTTCAAACCCATAGTACGAAGTAACCAAGTACATTACTCAAAGTCACTGCCCGTTTGGCCTTCTTTGCACTCAAAGGCTTGATTTCTAAAATAGAAATGATCATATTAGCATGCGATGTCTTGGTTTCACTAGCATCTTCAATCCCGCTAACACCGCATCGCGCGATCCGTTTCAACTTTCCGCAGGGGCCGCACACGTCTTCCTACGTGCCCCACCTGTTCAGCAAGTCCATTAGGGTCCTGTGCAACGCCAACACCTCGGAAGGGTTCAAACCCTTCAAGGACGCGTCGCTCCCGGAGATCAACCTCAAGACTGGGGAGATCTCCGGCCTCCTGGGTGGCCCCTCCCCATCTCGCCGCAGCATCTTGGCCTTCTTCGCGGGCCACCTGCACGGCCACATCAGGCACTTGCTGCTGCAGGAGTGGAAGGACAAGGAGGATCCGGACATGCGAGTCTACGACGAGCTCCCGCGCAGAGCGAGCTACGAGTCGATGCTGAGGCAGAGCAGGTATTGCCTGTGCCCGAGCGGATACGAGGTGGCGAGCCCCAGGGTCGTGGAGGCCATATATGCCGAGTGCGTGCCCGTGCTGATCTCCGACGGCTATGTGCCGCCGTTCAGCGATGTCCTGAACTGGAAGGCCTTCTCCGTGCAAGTGCAAGTGAGCGACATACCCAACATCAAGAAGATACTGATGGGCATTTCACAGTCTCAGTACCTGCGGATGCAGAGGAGGGTGAAGCAAGTGCAGAGGCATTTCGCGGCCAATGGACCGCCAAGGCGATACGATGTCTTCCACATGACCGTGCATTCTATTTGGCTCCGCCGCCTGAATATCCGGATCGCCGACTCGACTTGAACCCACGAGCAGGTCGAGCATATGATCGGAAGGAGAGGCTGTCGCGGCTTTTCTTTGTATGTCTAGCATTGCCGCGCGGGAAGGTTGAGCAGATTTGATTAGTAGGGAAGAATTTAGTCTCACGGTTGTGTAACAATTTTTGTGACCATCATGTTTTTGGATAGACCAGTTTGAAAGGGACACTGCACATTGGTAGCAGCCCAAACAGGGGGCAAGGAACCACGTAGGTTGGACTTTCTGTTCTCAAGATGTTTACAATCAAAAAGTTCTGAACAATGCATAAGTAAGATTGTATCGCAAAATTGATATGAAACTTGTCCAATAATGTGTTATACGGATAATTCCATTTTAAACTTTTTAATTTTGCCGATTTAATCCTCAACCTTTGGATCAGAGCAAGTATTAGGTAGGTCGGTCTTGCCACATGGGTGTAAGAACACTTCATTCAGCGCTCGCCACATGTCCAGGTCGACCCCGTTGGTCAATCTCTGTCTTCTTCACCACTACTTCTTCTTCTTCTTCTTTTTATTTTTCTTCCTTTCCACGGCGACCAAGCACGAGCAAGGGCCAGCAACAAGCAAGGGCTGGCAAGGGCATCGGGCCCTTGCCGAATTTGGCGGGGCCACCCTCTCCGGATCTAATGAGGACAAGGGCGAAAAATCAATGAGTGGTCTGACAACGAAGGAGGAGCCCATGGTGAAGAAGCGCGTCGGTGGAGTTGATGGCAAAGCCGTAATCGATGTGGAAGGAGACGTTGCCTTAAAAGAAGAAGAAATTTATTAAGTTTTTGTGACTATGATCTTCATCACGTCATTTAGTATATCAAATTTACATTACCTCTTCGCATCATTCGGAATTTTTCACTTTTTTTACAAGACAAATGAAGAATATTTCGTCGCTTGATGAAGCCGTCTCAACAATATAGAATTCATCAGTTAATCATATTACTAAGGCTGTGTTCGTGCCCCGAAAAATAATTTTTCCGGAAAACATTTTTCGCGTTTTACGGTGTTCGGGGGCGGAAAATGTTTTCCGTGGGAAGATATTTTCCTTCCCCACCCCCAAATCCTTCATTGTTTTGAGGAAAATGACTTCTACTTCTGAGAAGCAGAAGTCATTTTCCGAAAGTCTGAAGCTCTGCTTTGCTTCAGACTTCTTCCTATTTTCTTTTTTCCTTTTTTTTGTTGCTTCTGCTTCTTCTACCTCAGCCAGTCGGCGGCCGGCGACCGGCGAGCTCGGCCTCGCCAGAGCCTCGCCGATGACCTCGGACGAGGTTCGCCGACGTCCGGCGACCTGGGCGAGGTCGAGCCTCGCCCGAGGTCGCCGGATCTGGTGAGGCCCGAGCTCGCCGGCCTGTGGCAACGCTCAAGCTCGCCTCTGGCCGGTCGCCGGACGTCGGCCGTGGCCGTGGCCGGCGACCTGCCGGAGAAGAAGAAGGAAAAAGAACACAGCCAGCGGCGATCGTTGCCGAACGCCGGAAAATATTTTTCGAAACTTTTTCATATTTTAGCCGAACATCGGAAAATTGTGTTCCGGAAAAACATTTTCTAGGAAAATGATTTCCGGAAAAACATTTTCCAAAAACACAATATTTTTCGCCAAACGAATGGAGTAAAAAAATCACTTTGATTCTCAGAAACTCGCATGCTTTCTCCGATCAAGTACGGTTCTTCGGATTGAGAGCAAGTCTCTTCGTCAAGAAGTGCAGAGAGGATGAAAGAGAAGATAGGAGCGGCGAGCGAGGCGGCCGGCTCGGAACCCAAACCCTTCGTTGCCACAAGCCCCTTGATCATCGGATCTTGCTCTCGTTTCTGAACTCTTAATTTGTCTAACCAAATTCTTGACTTTTGCAGAATTTCTCAAACTTCAAATTGGGTCAATTCGGACCACCATATCCTCGAAGCAAGCGTGAATTTGGCACGAAAAAATTCGAGTTTGCCACGGCGAACCACATCAGTCTAATGCAAAGGATACTGAAAAATCTCGAAGACGTCCGAAATCAACAAAGCTCGAGCAACGAGATATTTTTAACACGAACGCGGCACTTCGAGCTATTCCCGTCGAAATCTTACTCGCTTCCGTGAACACATCACCTTTAATTATTCGATTTAAGGTTCAAATGGCTTGATTAGAAAAATCGCGTAAATTCAAAAAATTGGTAAGATAAAAGTAAAAGAGATAATGGCATGAATGATCTTTAAATTTTGGTCAAATGTGCAATATGGATCCTGAACTTTAAATATATTCGATGTGATCTGTGAACTTTAGGCCAATGTGCGATGTCATCCATGAACTTTTAATTTATTTAATGTGGTTCCTAGACTTTTGGTATGTGTTCAATTTAATCATTGGGCTATATAAAAAGATTCAATATTATCCTTTATAAATTCAAATTAAGGGATAACATTAAACATTTTCATACAGTTTAGGGAGTAAATTCAACAGATACTAAAAGTCCAAGGACCATATTGAATAACTTAAAAGTTCATAGACACAACATAGCATGTTGGGCTAAAACCCAACACTACAGTGAATAAATTTAAAAGTTTGGTTAATACCATGAAAAACCCTAAACTTGTACACCCGTGACAAATTTACTCCAAACAATTTTTTTTACCACAAAAATCTCAAACTGGTACACATGTGACAATTTTACCCCGAACTATTTTTTTAACCACCAAAAACTCCAAACTGATACATTTGTAACAATTTTACCCCAAACTAATTTTTTAACCACCAAAAACCTCAAACCGGTACACATGCGAAGGCTCGAGCCCCCGCCAGCAGCCAGTGGGGCTCGCCGGCCCTGGCCTCTAGCCGGTTGCCGAGGAAGCAGAAAGGAAAAGAAAAAATTTTAAAAAAATTCGAAAAAATATTAAAATATTATTAAATGTTGTCAACGTCATTGCCGGAGGTATCACGTAAGCCGCCTGGCGTCCATGTCAGCAAAATCCGATCAAAATTAGCCGGAATGACTAAATTGGCACAAAAAAAAATTTGGGACAAAATTGATACAAATACAAAAGGTTTAGAACTTTTTCAATACTTTTCCCAAAAATATTTAATATAATCCCTAAACTTTTGGTACATGTTCAATGTAATCCTTAAATTGAACATTTTCATATAGTTCGTGAACTAAATTGAGCATGTATCCTAAGTTCAGAAAAAACACTGAAGAAATTAAAAGTTTAAAAATCACATTGAACAAACTAAAAGTCTATGGACCATATTATATATCGGACCAAAATTCGGATGGGCTCTTTAGGTCATTTTCCCTTTCGGCTTGTGAGTCGGTTCCCGCCAAAAATGAGAAAAAGGCAAAAAAAAAAGCGTAAACGAAACAGAGGGGGGGGGGGGGGTGGCCTTTCCGTTGCGCTCCCTCTCGACACGCGTCTCTCGTGATCCCTCTCGCTGCCACCTCCACCGCCTGCGATCTCTCTCTCTCTCTCTCCCTCCCTCATCATCTCCATCTTCTTCGCTAAAAACTCTCTCTCTCTCTCTCTCTCTCTCACTCTCTCTCTCTGTTCGCGCTTCGGAGCGCCGGCAATGGAGGTCCCCGTAGGGTTCCTGGCCAAGCTGTGGAGCTTCCTCACTTTCCTCCCCTTCTTCTCCTCCCTCTTCCTCCTCGGCCTCCTCAAAGGTACGCGCCGTCGTCATCTCTTCCTCCTCCTCCTCCTCCTTCGTGCCGTCGCGATTCGGCACGTCTTCGCTCCTAGTCGAGCGAGACCGATGGTGACGCTTCGTCGGCGGCGAGCTGTTGTGCGAATCCTAGCAGGCTGAGCACTGCGGGTGGAGAGCTGAGTTTGATCGAAGTTTGCCGATCGTTTTGATTGCTCAGCCAGAAAAAATAAAAGAGAAGAAAAAAGAGGATGTCCTAGTAAATTCAGAGAAATGCGTGCTTCTTGTTGTGCTTAGTGGCTTCCTGTCTGTATCCGTCGGTGATTCCCGCTTTTTTCTTTTTTCTTTTTTTCACGGCAGCGGCGTTGGTCGGTCCGGTCGTGGTGTGCATCGTCGGGATGGGAAACTCTGCCGTGATCACAGGGCTGTGGATTGCTCATTTTGCCTGGACTTACTACTGTGTGGCGAGGTAGGTGTTACTGTGGATTCGCCGGTCGGACTCCTCTGTTTTATAATGCTTCGCGCTTTGGGTTTTCATAGTGACGATAATTTCAGTACCAAGAGGCTGGGGCTGATTCTGAAGATTTTGGTGCTGATAATACTGCCAGTGCCTCTAGTCCTTTGGCCTATTGTCGGGATTGCGGGAAGCCTGTTGGGTGGAGTCGCGTACGGGGTCTTTGCTCCCCTGATAGCCACCTTTGAAGCGGTCGGAGAGAATGTGACGGACAAGCTCTATCTTTGCTTTCTTGTAAGTCCCCACTTGGGTTCTGAGTCTAGTTTGCTTCTCAATTCTCGGGCTTCTCCTTTCGAGGAAATGAACCTCCCGAAACGACCCCAGCAATTCGAAACTTGTATCTTGGAAACGGTGTCTTTGTGTTGATTTCCAGTACCAAGATGTTCTTTTTCTATAGGGTATCTCCAATACGTTATTTAGAAAAATTGCGAGCTGTTTCAGAGAATATAAAGATTTTGTCCGTACATACCTGTCGAAGACGTGTTAGGGGCGCACCGAGCAATGTTTATGAATAGTGGCCTTACAGAAGGTTGACAGCTAAAGCATGCAATTTTGTGTGGAAAGCTTTGCTTTGGTTTCTGTGGCAGATGTCTGGCTAGTTACCGATAGGATCTGGTATCTCTGGTTGCCATGGTATCAACTTATGACCACAACACTTGTCCTAAGAAAAAGTCCTTTACGGGGAATAGGCAGCTGAAGATAGAATTCAGAGATTAGCTTGCATGAGTCCTTCCGTCGTGGACCACTTAGTTGTTCTCTCCTAACCTATTCATAAGTTCCTCTAGTCAAAAAACCTTTTGCAACTTTAGACTTCAGTTTTAACAGTACAGTCATAAACAGTAACAAAAAATATTGGCCGGATGGAACTTAATTGCGAACTGTTGTTGACTTGAACAAGGCGATCGTCTTTGTTAATGTTTATCTTTCATTCTGAATAATATATTGAAAGCAACAAGAAAGCAAAAACTCATGAGATCCCTTATAGTTATTGGATGATTTTTTACATCTCCAATCATAAGTAAGCAACCACTCTATGTGAGAGTACTACATTACCTGTAAGCCAGGGATGTGCGTCGCTTTTTGTTCGTGTCTTATATACACGTAATCTCTTTCCACCTAATAGCCCTGTCCTTTAAATTCACATGCACTCTTTTATAGTCCGGTTTGTGCATAAGGAAGTGTTAAATGATCCCAAATAGCTTGTTTACGGGGTTCATACGGGAGTTATTTTCATATAATAGCTTGGATATTAGTAGGTTTTGGTATTAGATAGAATGCAGTGGCGAATGTAACTGACTCCATTGAGTTGGAAAAAGCTTGGCAGTGGTTGTATTTTTCTTATATAGTTATTGCTCTCTTTTAATCTTTGTGTGGTAACTGGAACTGGAAGTCCTTTCTTTCCAGTTATTCACTTTCACAACAATATGCAGCGCCTGTATCTCAATTGTGAATATGGTTTTATGGTACCAGGATGGTGGTTGGTCCACGGTAGAAGGAAGTTGCACTGTGGTACGGGACTTCACTGATTTCTGCTTCCACTCCTACTTTTCCTTTATGGATGAATTGAGAGATAAAATACAACCAGATGAAAAGCCCATGGACATCAAGTAAAACTGTACCTTAGTTTTATTTTGTAAAAATATGCAGTATGGCAACTATGGCACATTCACATTATGATATTATCTTTAGGTTATCAAAGTTGCTTGCTTCTTTGATGGCGAGTCTGATGGGGATGGTAGTAGATGTTCCTTTGATCATGGCTGTTGCCCTGGTGAAAAGTCCATATATGTTGTTCAGAGGGTGGAAGAGACTACTGGAAGACTTGATTGGCCGAGAAGGACCGTTTTTAGAGACGGTGTGTGTCCCATTTGCGGGGCTTGCCATAATTTTGTGGCCTCTTGCCGTTATTGGAGCTGTGACAGCAGCTTTCCTTTCTAGCTTTTTTCTGGGGTTATATAGTGGAGTAGTTGTCTATCAGGTACTAAAAATCTGCCACCTTCTGAAACATCCTTGTAGTTGAACGATTTTGCATCAGTGTGTTGATAGCTTTTCTTTATCCTCGAGTTTGATCTGAACAGAAATACCTAATTCCAGGAGGATTCGCTTCAAATGGGAGTGGCCTACATTGTGTCGGTTGTCTCATTGTTCGATGAGTATGTTAATGATTTACTTTACCTGCAAGAAGGGTCTTGTCTGCCAAGGTGCATTTATGATCTTCTTTCATTTGATCATTCATGCTTTGATAATCTGTGAGGAATTGTTCTGCTACAAATTGATGTTTAAGTTTGAGCCATCAATTGACAGCCAGGCCCAAATATCGTCGAAAGATGAAAGCTAGCCTCGAGAGGAAGAATTCCAGCGTCAACAATGGATCAAGGGATGGCAAAGGAGGTCCATACATTTCAAAACTATATTCACAACAGTCGAGAACATTGAAGGGGGCTATCCAACAGTATAGACCAGTGCAAGTAAGATCAATCATACCACCTCAATCATCTTTTCAATATGATGTTCGCCAACAAAAATCTTATCTCTGCAGGTGTGGGATTGGCTCTTTAAATCATGTGAGGTTAATGGTAGGATACTTCTGCGTGAAGGTTTGATCGATGTTAAAGACGTTGAGGATTGCATATTGAAAGGAAATTGTAAGAAGTTAGGCATCAAGCTTCCTGCTTGGTCAATCTTACAATGTCTGCTAGCTTCAGCTAAGTCAGAGACTGACGGTTTGCTCATCTGTACGTCTATCAAATCTGAGTATTTCGTTTGTAAAAAATTGGTTAGTTCTATGTTATTTTAAGGATTCTCACGGATGTTTTGAATGGATTCACAGTTGATGATGTGGAGCTTACAATGATGAACAGTCCAAGGGACAGGATGTTTGAGTGGTTTGTTGAGCCTTTGTTGATTATCAAAGAGCAAATCAAGGGCCTCCAGTTAACTGAAGACGAAGAGGCGTGCCTTAGAAAGCTAGTAATGAGGTGCAAAAATGAAAAACCCAAGGAGTGGGACGATGCTGGTTTTCCATCAGATGACAGTGTGAAAAGGGCACAATTGCAAGCAATAATTAGAAGGTATTAGTATGTGCTCAATCTCTTGCCCCTAGGATAATAGGTAATACAGAAATGTACACTATCAAACTGAATGTGCCGTGTCGATTAGATTCGGCCCATGCCGTCCCTCCTTCACCTACTTGAAATTGAAAGGCTGACGGAATCAGTTTCTTTCGTGCATTACTTAATGGTTGCAGGTTGCAGGGGATTGTAGCTTCCATGTCCCGACTGCCGACTTTTAGACGCCGGTTCAGAAATCTGGTGAAGGTGTTGGACATAGAGGCTGTCCACGCCGCTTCCTCAGCAAACCACGTGGGAGGCATCTCGAAATCTGGATATGGTAGGGATAGCTCCACGGGAACTGCCGATGGAGAGGAGAGAGAAGCAGGGTGTGTCAGCATGCCCGATGGGATCGTCTAGTGATTTTTCTCGCCGCATGTGATTAAGGTTTTAGTATACATAGATGGTCATACACTGTTAATAGTTTCACGGGATTAGGAGCTGTATTGGATTGAACCAGGAAATCGATTTGCCAAGGTATGTACAGAAGTATTTGCATCGGCTAATGTCTTGGGTTCGCTTGTCTCGTGCTTCGGCCAAAAACTTGCAGTCAGAATGTGGACCCTTCTCGGCCGATCGGGGGATTTGCATATGGCTGCTGGGATACTCTTCAAGCCTATCTTTCTTTGAAGTCGGATTAGCTAAGAACAGAAATGCTAGTTTTCTAGAAGAGTTTAACGAAACAAACATATTTTAAGGAAAATTGTTAGTTTACATTTGTTTGCCAGAATAATAAATTGTCTTCCCCCAGTAATTTTTGGTCGTTCAAATACTGGAAAGTTGAAAAATAATTTCTCGAAAACAGTTTTTTTTCAGACAAACGGACCCAAAAAATATAGTATATGAAAACTATGCAATTTTTTGTCCATTTTACTTGTGAGGTTAATCATTTTTCTTTCATAGATAGAAAAACAACCTCGGCTGCGTCAACAAATTGCTTGTGGCCATCAATGCCTCAGGTGCGTGGTGATATTGATTGAGAGAAAAATAAGATGGACATTACTGATGACATGAGCTTTGTTTATTTGAGTTTAAGGAAAAGCAAAAATTGTCTTTATTTTTTTTTTAACCATCTTGTCAAAATTTCATAAATTTAAATCATAAAAAATTACGACAAAGATAATAGTCGTATTTTGTAAAAGCTTCGAGCGTGCCGGTATTTATAATGTCGAAAGACGTGAGCCACAAGATTTTGATCAGTAAAAACTCAAAAGTAAACAAGTTAGTCATGTTATTATTTCAGAAAATAATATTGGATGTCGCGAGAGAAACATCATGCTCTTTCGTATAGCTCAACTAGATAAATAATAAAAAGGACACGAGCGTATCAATCCACAATAAAAACCAAAACTTACGAAATTCAGGCTAAACCTAATGCATAATCATCAATATACACGAATTGCTCATATTAACCGTCGAATTATCAAGATATCATTTAATTCATAAATTACAATTCTAAATTATGGTTTTTTTTAAAGAAAACTCCGGAACATGAATTAATTTTATTTTTTTAGACGAAAAATTGTCTTCGAAAGAAAATGAATAGTTCCGATCGGTTTCCCCCCTTTTCAAAACGCACCTCAATCTGTCATTTCCCTCTCACTCAGTCCCCAGTGTGCTTCGTCCTCTCTCTCTCTCTCTCTCTCTGTGCAGTGATCGAGCTCGGATCCCCGCCGGCGATGGCGTCGAAGGACCTCCCCGACGACCCCGCCTACACCGAGACGGAGGACGCGACCGTCGCCGCCAGGAAGAAGCGTTCCCGCCGCGTCAGCTTCGCCGACGTGGAGATCACCTCCGTCCACATCTTCAAGCGGGACGAGGACTACTACGACAGCACCCCTCCCTCCGACCCCAAGCCCGACTCCGGCGGCGGCGGGGGGTCCGCCGGGGACGACGCCGGGGTGCGGCCGCTGTTTAGGGACCTGGGGGACCACAGCGACGACTCGAGGGAGGTCACGCCCAGCGGAGATTACGGTAAGGAGGATGGGGAGGAGGACGTCGACGAGGTCGTGGTCGCCAGGAAGTCGTTCCTCAGGCCGATTGGGTCGCCGTCTCCGGGGAGCAGCACGTTTGGCTCTGCAACTTCTAATGACGGTAAGTTCATTTGTGTTTGCATTTCTAGTGCGATTTTCAGCTTACCGGAGCTTTGGCTTTAAACAAAAACATGGTAGGGTGAAATTCGGTGCACAGCGCGCAGGCTTGGTGAAAAATAGGTGGGAAAGATGTTTAGGCTGTGAAGCAAATGCAGCTATGCTTCAAATTTTTGGACTAGAGCCACGTATTTGTACTAAGATTTGATTTCACCTTTCTCTCTAATAGCTGCGCTATAAGTGGATGTGGCATGTTTCTGATGATATCTTTTTTGTTCATCCATGAAGCAGTTTGTTTCTTTTGTCCTTGTGACTTGTGAGGATAAGTGTGCTTCATGAAAGCCAAAATAACAAAGGAAACGATGGGTCAATCGTCTCTTGTAGTGCTATGCTGCAAGTTTCTCTTTCTGGCCCTCATGTCGGCCATGAAGTCTTTTTGTTGTCCTGACTGTTGTGTTATTGCTGATGCTGTTTCCCAGAAGACAATTTTTTTGGTCCCGTCTCCGCGAGCTTTATTAGGCCTGGAAGGCTCTCTGGTTCTGCTGCTTCAGATGAAAATCACGATGTAACGATGGACTCTACAGCATTCTCAATGCATTTTCGCAGCCTTGCAAGATCAGACTCTGGCATGGAGAAGATGCCCACAGGCATTCATCTGACCTTTGATGAGAAAACGCCCTCGGAAAAAACTACCCCAGCTAACACTGGAAGTTTTATGATGCTAACAAACGCTAGGAAGCTGACTCCTGAATCTGCTCGTCCTATGCTTAATGTTCAGAGTGATGGTAAAGATTCCAATGAAATGAGCCTTATTGGGAATAATCCAAATAGGTATGACTATGGTAGACTTTCTCCCTCCTTGGATGCCCTACTGGCGGAAGGCAGGCAGGATTTGCAAGCTCTTCCTAGTTCTGATGTTGAAAATGCAAATGCGTCAGCTACTTTTGAAGTTTCCAATGCCGATGAGAGGGGAAGCAGTAAGGAGGATGTTAAGGGCTCTGCAGATAACATAATGATCTCTATGGGCACTGATGGAACCAATCAGATGATTGTTGCAGCTTATCGTGAATTAGACAGGGCAAATAGTGCTTCTGAAGGAATGCGCATTCAAAATGTTAGGAGTGATTCATCTAATATGGTCGACAGTTTCACTCCCAATGCAGCTGTTTATCAGCATATCCATACTCCTAATCAGACACTAAAAGTAAGAACATTGCTGTCGTCTATATTTTATTTGTTTATTTCCAGATTTGTTTTTTGAGTTTTACATTTTGACTAGCTAGAACCACTCAAGCTTTATTGGGGCATCTGGAATATTTGCACCTCCCTGGTACTTTTGAGTTTGATTGGTCTCATAAACTAACGGTAGAATGTAAGTGTCCTTGATCGTGTTTAGCAGTTATCTGCTGCAGCTATAATGCAGTATTATATGCTCTAGTTTAGGAGTAGCTTATGAGATGATAAAATGCATGTAGTGGATGATGGATGTCTGTTGCTGAGATTGCATTTTATGATCAATGATGTATAATTCCACAATTGACTGGTTGCTGTGAATTACGCATCTGTTTCTCATGTGTGTTGGCTAGGCTACCTGGCTATCTGCTTCCCTTTCTTTATTTTGTTATTCTGGTCTTCTGCCTAAAATTCAGTGAAGGCTATGCTGGGATTTTTCCGGATGAATTTTAAGCTTCTGGTTTCTCACACTTGCTCTCTATACAATAATCTGAACATTTTCTGGGAATAAATGGACCATATTTTGGAATGAAGCTTTTAATTCTCTTCTCCTTGCAGCTTGGGTCTGTATTTCAACATGTGACCGAAGTATCCATCAAGGAAAATTCCCCGTGGAATGGAAGTCAGAATCTTGATTCAACTGAGCAGGACCCCAACAGATTGCACACATCTCATTTGAAAGGCTCTATATCATCTTTGGCAGCTAAAAGGCGGCAATTATTTTTGGATACAGTTGGTTCACCTGCAAACTTTTCCATTGGATCTCCTTCAGCCAAAATGTCTGGGTCACTGCTAAGTAAGGAAAGAACTCTGCATGGTTTGAGTCTGTCATGGAAGAACATTCCTAAGTTCGGAAATCTTGATTCATCTCCTTCTTCTGCTCGTTTAAAGGAAATCAATGCATTAAAACTCAAGTTATCTGGTTATCTATCTAGTTCTCCTTCCAGTACCATTCAGGCATGGACTAGCAAAGATGTAGTAAGCAAACTCACAGAGTCCCCTGTTGCTGTTCATGATAGCAGTCCAATGAAGACCCCAATCGTAAATAAGATGAATAATAATTCCAGCCAGGCTGAGAAAACTCTCGCTCTTGCCAGGAATGGAGAATCTCCCGATCGCACATCTTTGCACATTAATCATAATGATCAACCTATTACAGTAGCGACAGAAATGGCCTCACCCGACAACTTCAGCTCGTCAGTTGGTGGAGTGATGCAGCCACAGTCTATGTCCGAGACTTCTGAAAACACTGCCTTGGTGTCTTTGCAAGCTGATCCTTCATTGGATGAAATTGCGGTTGCTCGTAGAAAGGATAGTGAGGAACCTATTGTAAGTCATAGGTTGTCAACTTCCCCAGTGCAAAGGTTAAATCGTGAGTTATTACTATCAGGAAATGATCAAAGTACACATGGTGTCTCTATGCAACAAAATTGGTACAGAAAGTCCATTGGCATTGACTCAGACCAATGGGGAAGTCCTTTACAATCTGTAGGCTCTGGTGGCTATCCAATTGAAGATGTTAACAAGATAAAGTCCCACTTCCTTGAGAGGATATCTCCAAGGAGCGGAAACACGTTGGATTTGCGGAGTTTAAAGCCGCTCAAGGACCTCCAGACTGAAGCAGATGGAGTCAGCTCAACAGAGGAAGTTTCTTTTGGGGAAAGAAAAGTTTCTTCTCTTATGCCTGATTCCACATATCCAAACAAAAGTACTGATGTGTCTTTGCCTAAAAAGGTCATAGCGTGAAACTGATAAGACCTCAAGATGATCATGATTTTCTGTTGACACCGATGAGTCTGTTTCTGTTCGTCTTTATTAATTCTTTAGTTTCTTATGCAGAGCCTCTCCAAGGAACCGGCACAGAATGTCAGCAAAGAAATCCATAACATGCCCCATTATGAGAACATGCAGTCTGTTGTTGGGGAAAGCATGTCTACTTCTAAGTCTGATGCTTTGGGCATTCTTAGTAATGACAATCAGCAGGAGACTCATCATTCCAAAAGTATTTTGGCAGCACAAGAGATTGAGGAACGTCACAATCGGAAGAGGAAAGGAGATGTTCTTGAGGATGGAGATCCTGTCGGTAAGGTCGCCAGGACAACAGGGAGTTCAGAAATCAAAAGAAGTGGGGGTTATGATGTCAATTCCTCTCTTGAGCATCCCAAACATTCTTGTATGGAAAGAGAGAATACTGGAGATAGCATACCACCATGTAGAAATTGGAAAGATGTACGTGTAATGTTGATAGTTTCATATCTTACCTTTTTGTGGTGCTCGTCACAATAAGTAATCCAATATTCGATGCCTC